AGTCTCGTTCTATAGTTTGAGATATTTTTGAGAAATTACCTGTTAATAGTGAGGGGACACAAAAGACTAGGTGTAAAAAGTGTGACCAACTATATATGGCAGACTTAAAGTCCGGAACATCGAATTTGAAGCGACATCTCAAAACTTGTTGTCCTGAACATGACACAAATGAGTTGGAGCCATAACTACCTTTTGACCAAGATGCCTATCAAAAGAAGCTTTCTGATGTCATAATCAAGCATAATTACCCCTTTAATTTGTGGAACATGCAGGAATTAGAGAGTTGCATAATTTCTTGAATTTAGATGTGAAATCAATCTCAAGAAACACAGCAAAGTTGGACATTTTGAAAGCTTATAAAAGGGAGAGAAAGAACAACTTAAACATGCATTGGAATTAATTCCAAGTAGGATTTGTTTGACTTCAGATTTATGGACTTCTCTCACCACAGACGGTTATTTGACTTTGACTACTCACTATGTGGATGAACATTGGGTACTACAGAAAAGGATGTTAATCTTTCGTCATACCCCCTCCTCATAATGGACCACTTTTAGCAGAAAAAGTGATTACTTTTCTAAAAGAATGGGGAATTGAGAAAAAAAATTTCACCATTACTTTGGATAATGCAAAGTACATTGATGGTTTGATATTTTGATTGATTTGTTGAAGAATCATCTTTCTTTAACAAATGCTTTTATATGTGATGGTGAATTTCTTCATGTACGTTGTGGTGTGCAAATCTTGAATCTTATTGTTCAAGCGGGCTTGAAAATGATTGATGGATCTGTGTATCAGTGTTTTGAAAAGCTCGCCTAGGCAAGAAGCGAGGCGAGGCGAGCTTATCTCGCCTGGAGGATCCCAGGCGAAGCGAACGTGAGCGAAGCGAAAAAAAGCGAAAAAGCGAAGAAGCAAAAAAAGCGAAAAAACGAACGCTTTATTATAAGAGGCGATTCTGCTCCCCCCTTTTTTTTTTTCTGATCACAGGTTAGTAGTCTCTTTTATTTTTTAATCACTGATGATTTTTTTTTTTTAGACTATCGTTGGTCTATTTTTTTTTTTTCTAATAAGCAATGTTCTGAACAAAACACATTCCTTTTTTTTTTCCTTGTGTTGCTGAATTCATTTAAAATATTTGTGGGATGTGAGAGTCAGGCGACTGCATGACAAAATTATGATAAAGAAAGGAAGCAGGAGTATTAGGAATGAGGGTAAATAATAGAGTCTTCTACAAAGAAGTGTCTCTGATATGTCTTGGTTATACTTTTCCCTTTTCTTATATATATACAAATGGCACCAAAAAGTGGTCTATGCTTATACCATGTTTAATTATTTTAGTACATGTGAAATGTGCCTCTGTTCTGCTTTTTTTATTCAGTACATAATTACATATGAAATTATTTACAAATGATTCTACTCCTGTCATGATCATTGTGCTTTTGTTTTTTTTTTTAGCTCATTCTGCTTCTATTTTTTTTTGTTGATTCTGTTGCTGCTTTGGTTTTGCTGTCTTGTGTTGTTTCTGTTTTTTTTTATCCTTATTCTGCTTCTTTTTTTTTGTTGATGATTCTGCTGCTGTCCTAATCCTGCTTCTTTTGTTGTCATACCCTGTCAATATGAAAATGTATACAATTGTTAGTATTTGTTTGAATTTAAATGTTTAAGTTATGACTGTTATTAAGATTTGAGATATTATTAGTATTTGTTTTAATTTCAATGTTTATGGTTTTACTTGCATTTAAATATTTAGTATATATAAAATTAGAACTTAGATTGTTTAGAAGTAATTAAACTAAAATATATATATTTTTTAACTGTTCGCTTTGCTTAGGTAAAGCGTGTCGCTTCGCTTCTCGCTTAAGCGTTAGCAGCCTTGGTCACTTCGGTTTGCTTTATGCCTTAAATAACACTGCTGTGTATAAGATTCGAGAAAGTGTCAAATGTGTTAGGGGTTCAGAGGGAAGGATGATCACGTTTGCAGAATGCATTGCACAATTTTCTATTAAAAGTGGTAAGAAAGTATGCCAAGATGTGCCAACAACATGGAATTCAACTTATCTTATGCTTGAATGTGCTTTATTATATCGTTTGGCATTTTGCCAGTTGCAATTGATTGATACTACCTTCAAAACTTGTCCATCACAAGAGGAATGGAACATGGTTGAAAGGATAGCAAAGTTTCTCAAACCTTTTTATGACATTACAACATTGTTTTCAGGAAGTCAATATCCCACTTCAAATTTGTATTTTCGTAGCGTATGAAAAATTCAAACACCCATACTAGAGGAACTGAATAGTCCAAATAAAGTTATAAGATCCATGGCACAACAAATGAAGGGGAAATTTGACAAGTATTGAGATTGTTATAGAATAGTGCTTTCCTTTGCCATAGTTCTTGATCAGTGTTATAAGTTAAAGTTTGTTGAATTTGCATTTGCAAAGCTTGATCCTGAAACAGTTGAAGAAAAGATACGGAATATTCGGATGAAGTTGCATTCACTCTTCCAATAGTACAAGTGTTTCTCCCCATCCGCTTTTGCAACTAATTCATCGACAATGAGAAATGCTTCTAGTGGAGTAGATGAAGATGAAATGGATGTAAGTAACATCACTAACTTTCATATTTATACTTTCGTAGATTTATTAGTAATTTTCTTATATATTATGTTTATATTAATATAGGAGTTTGAGTTATTTGAGAGACAACGTTCCGGATTGAACAGAAATAAATCACAATAGGATCCATACTTAGAAGAATCTTTACTTGATCGGAGGCAAATGCACAGTTGGATGTTCTAAGTTTTTGGAAAGCAAATTGGACCCGATATCCATAGCTTTCATTGATGGCCAGTGATGTGTTGAGCATTCACATTACTACAGTTGCCTCAGAATCTGCTTTTAATATTAGAGGTTGTATCATTGGAAAATATCGTAGTTCAATTTTTCCGAAAAATGTGGGGCATTATTATGTACTCGAGATTGGTTACATCGTTTAGAAGGTAAAATTAACTCTTGCAATTTCTTGTTAATATTATAATTAATTGTCTTGAGATTTACAACATTAGAATTTCATGTTATGCACTTGTTTTGAGTAGTTCAAGAAGATTCAGATGAGGAGGAGGAACTTGCAATTCAGTTTGAGAAATTAATTTCTGGATTTGGTGGCCCTTCAAATGATGTGGAATGAATCTTGGGAAGTTGGTGTGGAGTCTAATAATGATGATGAAAATGGATATGTAAGGTTTTTTTGTGATTCTTGTGAACTTGGTTCAACTTTTCGTTTAGTTTTTACTTTTGGGATTTATAGTATATTCAATTTTTTTTTGTTTTGGTTTACGATGAAGAAGGTTCATCAAAGAAGGAAGTGAAGTTTGACACAAAATATTTGACAATAAATAGCATGTCTTATAGTAGATTTCGTAATGTTCTTTTTAAACTTGTCCTAATGTTTGGTTGAGCATGTGTTCCATTTGCTCCGCCCAACTTGTGAGTATTAAATGATAAGGAGACATGGTGCTATGGTTATGTGTATTTGTTTTTTGGATAATTTCTTGTTATGATGAAGGATTGATGTGAATTATTAGTATGAAATATGCTACGCGATGGAAAAGAAATTGTGTTTGTGTTTTTATTTTGTTGATTAGTGTGTGTGTGTTTGATGTAAGTGTGTGTGTGTACTTTGGTATAGTATGTGTGTGTGTATTTTGGTGTAATAGTATGTGTGTATTTTGGTGTAGTAGTGTGTTTATTTTGGTGTAAGTGTGTGTGTATTTTAGTGTAATATTGTGTATGTGTATTTTGGTGTATTAGTGTGTGTGTATTTTGGTGTAAAAGTATGTGTGTATTTTGGTGTAAAAGTATGTGTATGTATGTATTTTGATATAGTAGTGTGTGTGTTTATTTTGGTGTAATTGTGTGTGTGTGTGTGTGTGTGTGTGTGATTTATGGGTTAATGGGTTTAAACCAACCTATTATAAATACAATTTATTATAACCCATTTATTACGTGAGTGGAAATTAGATTAGATTTATTTTAGCCCAACCCATAATCAACCCAATCCACCCATTTGCCACCTCTAGTTACGCATATGCTGGTGCCTCAGCCTTCATTTGTTGAACTTTTGAGTTGGAAGCTTGTGTTTGCATCCCATGTTTTCAAATTAGTCACCGCCATTTGAGACTAGGCTTATTTTTGCAAGAATCAAGTCTGATGTTTTTTCACCGTCTTTTAGAGAACGTGGTTGTAGAGACGCTGCCTCCCCCATCCAAGTCCAAGACTATTGAAATTTCAATCTCCTAGAGGGAATAGTGTCTAGAGTGAAGCTTTTTTTTTTCATGTTCTTCGTGACAAGAATGATGTTGGTATCCTATCTTTAGCATTCAAGTCTGTGAAGGAAGCAATCTAGGGTAGATATTTTTTTACATATCCCAAAAGCATTAAAGAATGAGCTCTACCCTTCCGTTTAGGTAAGAGTCACCAATTTCATATCTAACTATTTGGTGTATGTATTTGGATTTGATAGTCCAACACATAGAACAACTCTATTGAAGTTGATCAATGAAATGGTCCATTCCAATGCTTTTGATCATCAAACCCCTGTTTCTAATCGAAAAATTCAGAATAAGACGGATTTTTACTCGGTGTTTAGCCGGCTAAACTTGTGTCCACAAATTTGAAAACTCTGGGATTGAGTTTGCAGTGTGGAGAATTCAACTAACCAAGCTCACTTTGCTCAACAATATATATATTTTTTTTGCTAAATAAAAATTGAGATTAAGAAAACAAAAGAGTACAAGTAATATAATCGAGCACCAATGTGGCTTGATATATGCCCACTTTGCTCAACAACATATTCCTCAGCTAAATAAACTTTGGACATTTCTTCCTTTATTCTTTATTTTTTCATGGAAAAACATAATACATCTCTAGGCATTATTCACTGAAGAGAAAATGATTGTTTGGCAAACTATAGGCAAGATATCATGTGGCTATGATGTCCGCTAGTGTGTCCGTTCAAAGAGTGATTTAAGATTGTAAGGTCCAGTGACATTGGGAATGCCACTCCACATTAGCTCTGCGAATTGCTGGTTGGCCATTTCAGTGGGATGAGTTGAGTCAAAGAACATATACTCACTCGCATTCTTGCATAACTCAAACTCTGTTAGTCCTCTCTTTCCTCCACAACTAGGAATTCCGCGGTAAGGACCAGTGCCACAGCACGCTGTCTTGACTTCCTTGAAACCTTCACATGACAATTACAAACATGTATGAATACGGTAGAACCCATTTATATGGGGAAAATGACAAAAAAGAAAATGACACGACATGACATTTTAAAAGATAACCTTGGCTTACCATATTTTGATGGATTATTTATTCTTTCACTCGCTGCAGTGTAGAAATTGAAATTAGAATACATGAACCCTTTCAATTGTGTCTCTAGGTTTCTGAGGGTTTTGGAAAGTGCCTTGTTATGTAGTTTCAATAAATGTGTGATTTCTGTCATGACTTCACTATTATTTTCAGGCTCGAGTGCTCTAATTCCTGGCAAAGAACCCAAAGGCCCCAAGCTAACAAACCCGAATTTTCGCCCTCCGTTCATATAAATGTCCTGTTTAGAAAATTAATTGTAAGCAGAATTAGACCGGTTAGGAATGCCAACGACAAAGGTTTTTTTTTTTTGGGGGGGGAGGGGGGGAGGCTAGGGTTTGCTTGTAAAAGAGAGACAGTGTCATTACCTGTATCACAGCTGTTGAGTTACCGATCACAATTTTGACGTATTCATCTTGTGAATTTGAATGAAAGAAGCTGGAGTTTGTCGATAAGGTGTTTCCATAATCGTTGCTCCCTATGCTAAACAAGTATACGGCATTAGACAACAGTTGCTTTGCTTCCCCGTCCCCTAGATTTTGCCTCAGTTGCTTCACTACGATTTTGAAATAGCTCAGCTGTGTTTTAAGGTCAATCACCTATAAAAGGATGCACAACACTGTCTGAAAATATGTCTAATATATAGCTTAATGAAATATGTTTTTTCATATGAAAATTAATCTCAGATATTGATGCTTAAATATATATTGTAGTTGCATTAATGCTTTTGCACTAGATAATACTGAATACTGACCATTCCTGGAAAAGTTTCAGCTAAAGCACCAGCTCCGCTAGATGCAAAGTTTGCCCCATAAACAAATTGTTGATAACCAGCAGGCTGCTGGAGATATGGTTGAATTAGTGGCAGCTTGGCGTACTCAGCTGCAAGAGTTACAACACAAGGGTGGTAGGTAAGCTAAGGTTTATAATTCATTCATTCAGGTGCTAGATCAGGGAAATGAATATGATAGATGTTGAGGAACTTAAATATTACCGATAAAGTCGGGGATGAGACGGCCATCGCAAAACCTTCCAGTGGGGTACTTGAAGAAAGATTCACCATATGGCCAAAAATTTGCCTGGAAAGTGGTGTTAGTGTTGATGTAGTTATTGTTTCCTGGATCGAAAAGGGAATCACCAAAAATGAAGAGGGCGGCATGTTTGTTGTTTTGATGATGGCTAAGGCAACTTGTTGGGGAGATAAGACTCGAAAGGAGAAGCAAGATGGAAAATTGAAAGCAGCTTAGTCCTGCCAATGCCATGGTAATGGTACTGGAACTTGATTCAGTTTTCGTTGCTTTCTACTTGGCCTCTGTCATCTTATGTCAATGTTATCATTTGGGTTGGTCAAGCAAGCAAATATTCAAAGTGCATGCAATTTGTATTTTCTCTTTTGCCGGCTTAATATGTTTCTAGTTTGATCATCGGTAAATCATTTTCTTTAGTCTTAACAACAACTTGTCAACTTGACTATATGTCTAGTTGAATTCTATTGAAGCTTGTGCAACAAGAAGTTCACCAGAAACTGTTTTTTTATATTTGATAAATATTGCTTCTTTTGAATTATTTGTCAATTAAGGAAAATATTTATGTATTATAATTATGTTGATATTGTTCAGTCTTTATGTCCATCTAGAAAGTTTATGTTATGGGCTACGATTTTCTGACACAAAACTCTATGGTCCAACAAGGGCACCCTTATCTGCGCTGCGCCCATAAGCTCTTCCCTCAATACAATTAAATCAATCTTATATATGTATCATTCACTGGTGCCTGTATAGGGTGTGGGGTGTGAAATTGGAGATGTAATGACTTTTTGCAAAAAAAGACCAAACAAATTTCCCAACTTCAATAAAGGAATCTAGGATTATTTTATATTAGAGTGAAAAAAATTTTACATTCCACAACTTAGAGTTCACGTGTCCAATTTTTCTAAAAGCATATTGAAATTGACATTCAATTACTTATTAGTGGGTAGAAAGGGATTTAATAAATATCTTCATTGGGCATTTGACAAAATAGTTGGAGCTATATGAATTTTTTTTTTCTTTAACTTTGGACTAAATGTTCCTAGGCAACTAACCAACACTTAGAGGCACCGGAATAGAGTCTTCAGATTGTAAGGCCCTTTGTTGTTCTCTGCCCACATTTGATCTGCCATTTGTTTGTAAACTCTTTCAGTGAGATGATAAGAGTCCCAAAAGACATGCTCTTTTGGATTATCACATAGTTGAAACTCCTTCACTGGCCTTTTGCCTCCATAGCTGAATATCCCTCTAAAGTCTCCTGTCCCACAGCATGCTATTTTCCCCTCCTTGAAACCTTTAACATAAACAATTCAACACATTACTAATAAATTTAGAATTTATTTACATGATCAGGGTTCTTATAGGTGGTATTTTGCTGAAAGGAAAGAAAAAAGAAATAGTAAGTACCAAATTTTGAGGGGTGATTCATCCTTTGTCTAAGATTATTGTTGAAGCCGTAGAGTGAGTACTTGAAACCATGTAACTTCATTTCCATTTTCAAGAGCAGTTTAGATAAAGCTTTATTATGTAGTTCTGCAAGCACCGAAGCTTCCCCTAGGCAGCCACCTTTGTTCTGTGGTTTCAGTATTCTCAGTCCTGGAGAACAACCCAATGAACCCAAGTTGATGAACCCAAATTTTCTGCCTCCACTTCTATATATCTCCTGCCAAAATCCTGATGATAAGACCAATTTGTAACTTGCACCAGTAAATGCACCAACTCTGTGGTGATCTACCCCAAGGCCTTGCTTGCAAGACTCCGTAATATAAGCTACCATATTCTTAGCAAAGTTCATTATAAAAGGAGAGGCATTAAGAAAAAAGAGAGGCTCAGCTTACTTTGATTGCAGATGTGAAGTTGCCAATAACCATTCCTATGTATTCTGAGTTAGAAAAGGATTTCAGTTTTGTTGAATTGGTCATGAAAGGGCTAACGTAATCGTTTGTTCCAATGCTAAACAAGTAGACAGCTCCTGATATGGTCATCTTGGCTTGAGCATTACCTAACCCTTTACTCAACTGAGCCACTAATTTCTTGATTACCTGTAAAACCCATATTATGTCATATTAGATATGGAATTAGTGAGTCAGGTATAGTCATCATTTCAATTGGAAGCCTCATATCAGTTGTGACGAGTTTGCTTTACTAATTCCAACTTGCTATCCCCCTCTCTCTCTTTAACGAATCATAGAAATCCTCAATCTTGCTTTCTGTATATAAAGTTTATCAGATTACCACGTACATGCTTTAGTTTGATATTCTCCATGATCTCTTTGAAAACAGAAGAAACAACTGCATAGGAATTCCGAAAAACCTTGCAATTTCTTTCCGTTCAAATCAAGTAAACATAAGCAGCAAACATTAATCTACCAATCACTTTGTGGAATCCCTTACCCTTCATGTTGGTGGCAAACCAATTAATGAATTCTGGCCAATTAAGAATTGGCCATTGGACATTCCCTTTCCTCGGGAGTGAAGTCCGTAATCTGCTGGTGCAAGAACATTCAAAGAATAGGTGATTATGAGTCTCCACTTCCTTTCTACACAGCACACACTGAGCCCTATCCAGAATGCCATTTAAAATTAACCTATCTTATGTAGAAGGAGTTACCTACACATTATTTTTTAATGTAATTTATTTTTTTATTTTATAAAAATATATTATATGTAAAGTATAATTATTTTTATATCTTATGTAAGTTTAAAATTATTATGATCAATAACTACAGATTAATAGTTTAAAATTATACACATTATCTCCTTCTACTTATATACCAAAGTGAAATGATTATTTTTATCATCAAAGTTAACAGAGAATATGTTTTATATGCCCAAAATATGTTATAGGTTAACATTGTCTATGTATCTAAAATGCCATTTATAATATATAGTATAATACTCAAATAAATATGTTGTCGGTCCCGGATCAAAAAGTATGTCAGAAAAATATAGGTGATTTTTAGTCCCAAGTCAAAGCCTTACTTGAGGAAAAAAAATCTTGACATATTTGATTAAAATGTATTGATTTGTTATCATGTTCAATTAATTTTATGGTCAAGAGTAAATCAAAAGAAAAGTATGATTTTAAAACATAGGTATTATGATAATTTTTTAATTTCATTAATGGCGTCAATTACTTCACTTTAATACATAATTATTGATGGTGCTCAAAAATGTTAACCCAAGTTCAGAACCACGGTCAGAGGGCCCAAAGAAGGGACAGAGCAAGTATATAAACTGAAAATGAATAAAGCTATAAAAGAAAAACTAAGACACTATATAAGTGGTTCATCTTAGTTGAAAAATTAAGGCTATGTCTACTACAATGGAGTCTCTTGCTCGTTGGGGGTATGTATATTGCTTGAAGAAGACGGTTACAGTGGTTTGTTTGGCTTAGAGCCTTTTTTAAGAAAATTGCTTAGAGAGTACAAGCTTATCTCTGAAGATAACTAAGGAGGATGTTGATCGTGTGTTTTCCATAGTATAATAGTGTCATATTTATACAAGTAATCCTTCTAGTGTTTCTTGCGACTTCTTCTTCCTTTTTTCTGATTTTGTGGGCCCTTATACTTTTGTTTTGTACCGACCTCTGGCATACGAAGCCACTGCATTCACAACCTTTGCGCGATTACGCACACCAATATTCTGTGGCAAGGAATGCGTGTTTGTTATGGGTGTCAGAAGTGGTCCCTCTGCCCTCAAGACACATGGCGCAACAAGAGCATTTCAGGATCGTCAAGGGGCCGAGCTCCTTTATCCCGAGCTTGCCTCAAGCTGAGCTAGGATTAGGGCTGGATTGGACTTCAAGCCTTCAGGTGCTATTGTGCTTCATCCTTTGGGCGCGGTCCATTTGAATCTTGGTGTGGACATGCTACGGGTGGACTATTTGGGTTATTTTGTAAGTAGAGGTCTTCTGGACCTATTTGACTCTTGATTAGAGCAGCCCATACCCAAAATCCTATTATTATCAATTATAAGCAAAAATATACATAATTTTAAATGTCAATGAGATAAAATACTTTTATACCAAACCACAAGGATAAAAAGCAATTTGGACGGATCTGCTTGCTGGAGTTTTGTAATTGAATGTCATTGTACCGAATTACAGTACCAGAGCATTTTTTTTTTTTTGGTAATTTCAAGAGTAACCATACGAAATGTCAATTAATTTTGCTCATGTGGTATGGGCACGATATATATTTACTGTTTGCTTTAGCAGATCGTTTATGTCTGTTCTTTTAAGGTCACTTAACTTAGATGAATGACCCTTCCTGACGACATTAGGGTCCAGCGGCTCTCTAAGGTTTTGATATACTACTACCTACACAAAAACATCGTGAAGAGATTCAATGAACACCTTTAAAGATAGTGATATAAGATAATTTACTGAATGGTTGTTAACTCTACCAGAGAAGTATGAAATTAACAATGTTAACAGTTTGGGCATTGAGTGTTTCGCCACTTGAGGTAAAACTTTTGAACTAAAAATGACTAATTATAATCTAAATTATAAAAATAGAATTTTATTAATGTTAATAATAATTTAGTATCAAGCACAATGAACTCATTTAGCCGGTGCAATATTAAGAAAATGATTGATTTTTTTTTAACCGGTATTGCATGAAATGATAGAACTCAATATATTTTTTGTTTGATTATATAAGTCTCTATATTGAATGGTTTTGCTATTTAGAAAAGATTTGTGTATACTTATATTTGTGTATTCTAAAAATTATACATTTATATTAAGGCTTCATTTAAATGATCTTAATTTTATTATTTATAAATTTTTGTAAGTGAAAGTTCATGCAATTGATATTCATTTAACTTTTTTTTTTTACGAGAAATCGACTTTATTTCTATTTAAGTATTGATTATAGTCTTTATTATGTATCAATCGATTTGTAATTTTTTTATCATGCTCAGCTCTTCAATTTTAGTTAGTAATTTTTCTATATTAATATCTCAGTGATAATGTTTCAAATAAATGATAAATTTAATGAATTGTTAGTAAATAACTAATATTTTTTAATAACAAGCTTCATTTTTTTACAATTGTGACAATTAGTCATTTTTTTATATTTATTTATGTCAAATGGACTTCATGTACCAATATGATATATTAAATATAAATATATTTATATAGTGAGTTTGTTTAGGAGAAAAAAATTAGAATCTATAATTAAAGTGTCTACTTTAAACAAAATTCTTCACTTCATCCCTAATGGTTGGCGGTGGTGATAACAATCGGTGGTCGGTGACGATGATAGTGGTGGTGGTTGTTGCATAAGTGATGGCAATGGTGGGTGGTAGAGGTGGGCAACGGTGGTAATAATCGGTGGTGGATGACAACAGTGGTAGAGATGGTGTTGGCGGTGATTGTGGTTGTGGCAGAGGTGGTGGTGGGGTGACGACGGTGGCAGAAGTAGGGGTAATGTTGGTGGGAGTGGGGTGTGGTGGTGAAATGTTTTTTAAATTAGTTATTTTAAAGAAGTAGAAGTTATTTATTATTTTTTTTATTTACTTACTTATTTAAGTATTTATTTACTTATTTCAGTGGTAAAAATATTTAGACTTATTTAAAAGTAATTAAAATAAGTTATTCCAAATACTATTTTTATATATATATATGTTTATAAGAAGTCATAAGTTTTAAAAGCACTTGTAAAAAATCACCCTAAACAAATTCTTAAAGGACCTGTTTTTTCTATTAAATTTAGGAAGTTAATATTAATCGTTAGATTATCTTTAATATAAAATTTAAAATGATTCCAACCATAAAAAAATAAAAATTATTTTTTATATTGTACTTATTTTGTTAGATGGGACGCAAACCAGTTAACAAGCCAGTTAATATGAAATGATAAATAAATAGATCAATTAAAGTTGACTGACACTCAAAAAGAACTCAAGATGTTTGAAGTCTGCATTTACACCATATCATTATTCTTCCACTTGTTTGACCAGCTCTGGGCTTACGGTATAATTATTTAAAGTGATATGTAAATAAAATTTTAGTGTAATTGATGTATCCGTTGTAGTCTAGGTGGTTAGGATACTCGGCTCTCACCCGCGAGACCCGGGTTCAAGTCCCAGCAACGGAATTTTCGTTTTTACAAGTGTGTTCCATGGTTGGGTGGTTGTGAATTTTTGTGGTGCTCAATTGCAGATAATTTATCACTTGTTAGTGGACGCTTACACTACGGATATGGATATCGATATGACGATACGACAAAATTTAAAATAATATAATAAGAGTATGATATGTTCATAAAATATATTCTTTAAAAAATTTATTATTATATTTAATATAATAATTATGATTTATAAAGTGAATCACACATCTATCAAATATATATAATAATAACTAATCACTTTATTATTCATAAATCATACATTCATATATGTTTCTTCTTTTTTTTTTGAAAATAAGGGTCCAAATATATTTGCTCTGGTATTCCTATTCATTTTTTAAAATTCAAGTAATATTCCGTCATATCTCTAACGTATTTCCAACTTATCTTAACATATCCTAGCATATTCTAAAGTATCCAAAATTCAAATTTTTTTTTTTCATTCTAGGATACTTCCCAACCGTATTAGATACGTATCCGACTGTATCGGACGTGTATCCATATCTGAAAAGTATTCTATACCGATACTTTGATCCTTTTAAAGTATCTGTACTTTATAAACTAACATGATGCAACTGTTATTCTCAATATTTTCTCCACAAAAAGAAAGAACAGGTGATTTAAATAAACTATCATCAATAAA